TACCCATTTAACAGTGGGTACTGGCTGCAGTGGGCTGAATGGGCAAGAAATATCTTTCCAACAGTACTGCAAAGACAGAGCTGGGCTACATTAGCTACTGGCTGGGTCACCCTTGCCATGGGGTCTGGTACTTCAGACTTCTTTCCCACATCTGGAGTACAAAGATAATACATTGTTTTTACCAGAGCAGAAGAAATGGAATGAAATTCAACCCAGTCTCTGCCCCATAAACTGTCAGTAACCTCTCAACCATGCCAGAGTGCCCTGCTGAGCTCCAATTTGAGCTTAACTCCATCTGCCTGTAAAACTTAGAAAGCCATAGGAAGGTGTTACTGGGAGCTGATGAACTCATTTGTTAGCATGAAACAAATTACAATGGAGCAAGCTGAATGCAGAATCATCCGCAGTGGTCTGGAGGACCACTCTGTCCAGGTACAGCACTCTGTACCAACCAGCCTCTGGTGGACATGATTGATGTTCCTCACTAAATGGCTGGATACTGGGGGTGTGGCTCCATGGTTAGGTATTTGTCACACGTGTAAGGCTCTGGGTTTGTTTCGGGGCGGGGACATTAAATAAATAAAAATAAGTAAATAAGTAGTTTCGGCCCCTGGATTTTTTTTTTTTTTTTTTGGACTATTTTATTTCTCTGAGTTTTAACTAGTCATTTCACAAAATGAATTCCTTTTGTTTTACAACGTTAATGTCAAGTGGATTCCATTAATATTTGTTCATTGACTCAGTGGGTGTGTAATTGTGACATTAAAAATTCAGGCCAGGAAAATTAACCTTCTAGTCTCACAAAGTAAGGATAATAAATCTACCTCTTAGACTCTATATGAGTGAATATGAAAACCTAGTTTCTGAGGGCCATTAGTTTAGCAATAGGGCTTTGTGTGTGTATGTTTAAAAAACATAACAAACTTAGCATTTTAACAATGTTTGTGTATGCTGTGGTTAAGTTCACCAATATGGTACAGCCATCCCTACCTATCCTCTGAGCTTTTTCAACATCCCTAACTGACACTACTTGACTGTCAGTTTTCAGACATCTCAGTGTGATTTACATCCATGGCAGCGCTGGTCTTACAGTGGTCCCCTGAACATCTTGAGAAGCTTGCTTGGCACTCCTCACAGGGACTGGCAGGTAGAGGATGGTGTGGGCCTCTTCCTCTAGACCCTCAGTGGGGACTTTGTGGCTTTTTTTTTTTTTTTTTTATGTCAAGAAAGAAACGTCACTTCTTTTCAAAAGGCAGTTTTCCTCATAGTAGACAAAATTAAGAAGAGAACAATAGCTTTGTCATCAATTTAAGATTAATTTCAAACATCATTAACTAAGTAATGAAAGCAAAATCATGATTTTCTCTTTCCTCTGCATTGTTTGGACACCTGTATTTCAGGGAACATCTGCTTTTAAGGAAACCTTATTTTTACAAATGGTTGTATATGTAACTAATCCACAAACTATAGACATTATGTAACTCTGCCAGTATTTAAACTTTACCCTTTGCCTACTACACCCTAATCCCCAAAGAATCCATTCGAATATTATACAGATTAGCTGGGTCTAACACAGTTAATTCTGATCTTTGGTTACGAAAGAGATTTACCAAAGGATAGTTCTCCTTATCCTCACATCTGAGCAATGGCATTCTTAGTTAGTGGCCTCAAAAGACTGTTTTTGTTTTCTCTCTGAGGATTGACCAGATGAGTTTTGAACCTGGAATTTTTTTATATTAATGATTGTCTTTCTAAAAACCGTCCAGTTTTCAGCCTTCATCGCTTTAGGCATCTCCTCTTTTTCATTCCCTTTCTTCCCTCAACAAGGAACTGTTCTAGTGTTCTGAATGTTCATTTCTTGGTGCATACAGTTACAGATATGTACTCTGGGTTTTATGTGTCGCCTGGTAACCAGAGTAAACAATACAGGAATGGTATTGATTTCATTCTGTTACTCTTTCACTCAGCACTGTTCTGAAAATCTCTTCCTTGTCTGGATGTTTCTGAGGCCCTGCCTCTCACCATTGGTATGCTGAGACATCCCTTCCCCATGGTTGCCTCCAGCTCCCTGCTATCTCAAACAACATTAGAGTCAACCCTGTCGTGTCCTCTTGACACCCATGCTGTTACGTCAACTTGACCAAAGCTGAAGTCACCTGAAAGGAGAGAACCTCAATTGAGAAAATGTTTCCATCAGATGTAACTGTAGGTCATCCAGTTAGGTACTTTCTTAATTAGTGGTTATGGGGAGGGCATGGTCCATGGTGGGTGGTGCCATCCCCAGGCTGGTTCTATAAGAAAGTAGGCTGAGCAGGGCATGGAGAACAATCCAGTAAGCAGCACCCCTCCATGGCCTCTGCATCAGCTCCTGCCTTCAGGTTGCTGTCCTGTTTGATTCCTGCCCTCATTGCTTTTGATAATGTTATAGGGAGCTGTGAAGTAAATAAAGCTTTTGTTCCCCAAGTTTCTTTTGATCGTTGTGTTGGTTTTTTTATTTATCATAGCAACAATAACCATAATTAAGACAGCAGCTATGTCACATTGGGAAGCTGCGTATAGCAAGATTGGTTTAAAGCCCGATAGCTGTTGAGAATGGCAGTAACTGTCAGCACTTCCAGCCCCAGTGTGTGTCCTTATTTCTGCAAAGGCTGCTGATAAAGCTTTCATCCTTGGCAGTCTGTTATTATGCTTTATTTTTATGACCTCACTTGTTATTCTGATAATCATTTATTTGGGTGGCTGGAGGTGGTGATAGGACTCAGAGTCTCCTGCATAATGGGTTCCTCTCTTGGTCTACAAACCCTGCCCTGGGTATTCCTCTTAATTTGTAATTGTAAATTTACTAGTAAGTTTGAGCATTTTCTCATATAACCGGAGCCTTTTGAGCTTATATGTTGGAGCTAGATGTCTTTTTTGTGCTTTATTTGTAAAATGTCTGTTTATTAATTATTTGGTAGATTAAAACATCTTCTTTGTTATATTTTTTCTACCTGTGGATATAACATCAGAAAGTATCCTGTTTTACCAGCTGTTTGTTTATTTGTTTATTGGCTTTTCAAGACAGGGTTTATCTGTGTAGCCCTGGCTGTTCTGGAACTCACTATGTAGTCCATCCAGGCTGGCCTCTAACCTGGAGATCACCTGCCTTTGCCTCCCAGTGCTAGGATTAAAGGTGTGAGTCACCACCGCAACTTCCTTTTTTAACTGTTTACTTTCCTGGAATTCATTTATCTTCCAATATGTTCTTAGCTTGAATCATATTCAGTTGTTTCATGATGTTCAGGAAGCAGAGAGTTTGCTTTTATAACAAAACCCTCTTCCCCAAGTCCCTTAAACTATGAATCCATAATGGATTATTTCACTAATCCAGTCAGAGCCATTATGATCCACTTAGGCCCTTCTGCCCTGGCCAAGCCCTATTACAGAACCAAGTCTTTATGCAGAAGCTGTGAGGACATTTCAGATCTAAACCACAAATTGGCGATTATATAACAAGTTTCATAATAAAGCAGCCTTTTTGTCTTGCTGAATTTCTCGTCTGTTAAGGGTGGGAGAAATCAGAGCATGCCAGTCATGACTGTTCTATCCATCCTATATTTGGGAGATCAGACTGGAGAGCCAGAAGTTCAAGGTCATCCTCAACTACATACTGAGTGTGAAGCCAGTGTGGGCTCCATGAAGTCCTGCCTTAATGAAGAACAGTAGCAGCAAAATAAAATTATACCAGCCTAAACACTTATAGGACCTCCAGACCAGGGGTGGGGCAGGGGTGCTCAGTACATACAGTGCTCACTGTGGAAGCTTGAGGACCTGCGTTGGGATTGTCCACCCAGAAGCAGATCTGAAATCCCAGCACTGAGGAAGAGACAAGATGATTCCCGGAGCTCACTGGCCAGTCTCATCAATCAGTGATCCCAGGTTCAATAAGCTGTCTCTTCAGCACTAAAAATGACACACGTGTACCTTATACATCTTTACATCTTTGTTGTGTGTCTTTTCTGTTTTGTTTGTTTGTTTGTTTTGAGACAAGGCCTTGATAGGTAGCCTAGCCTGGCATGGCATTGAACTGAAGATACCCCTACCTCATCTAGTTTTGTCATACATATGTTTGCATCTGCCAGCATGTCAGCCATGTCACCGTGATCTGCAGCCATTCTCATCTAAACGAACCTGTCTGTATTTATTTTCCCTTTTCACTTCTGTAATTTACTTCCAGGGCTAAGACTGAGTGGGATGCAAGACCACCTTTGAGCAACATTGTCTCCTGTTGATGTACTAGTGTGGTTTTGTTGTATGGAACCAGCACAAGTGAAAAGTGGCCCAACCAGGAACTGAGCTAGGTAGTTTAGACTATAGTAGTGAGGCTTCCTAGCTTGTTGTCTGTTGCTGTGATAATAAGCAACGTGGGGAGGGAAGAGTTTATTCCAGTGCGCAGTTTATAGTCCATCGTGAAGGAAAGTCAGAACAGAAACTGAAGCAGAAATCATGGAGCTGACCTTGGGTTCAATCTCTAATGTGTCAAACTTATATTTTTAAATAATGATATTTTAAGTGTAAAAAAAAATATTGATTTTCTTTCTAACCAAATCTTAAGTCCATGAGAATAGAAACAATAACTGTTTGGTTCACTGTTTTATCACTAAAATCAAATACTTTGTTCATTCCTCATTGTTAGTAAATTTTGTAAACCTTCTTGCAAGGTAGAGGCTTGGGGGCCATGTTTCCCATATTTTGGTAACTATCAGAAGGGAAAACAGTCCATGAAATGCTCAGCTAATGGAAACCAGAAGTGAAAAGTTTGGTGGGCATTCTAAACTTATGTGTAGATAAAAATAATTGCTAACTCTAGCATACCCACAGGGCCATGAAAACCTTTAGTGATTTAATAAGAGCACTGTAGATGACCGACCCACACTAAATATGGGAGAATGCTGACATCTCCATAATATAAACTCATGCTTTTTTTTTTTTTTTTTTTTTTTTTTTCATTTCTCATATAGAAAAGATCAAGCAGAGATATGCCGACCTGCCTGGAGAATTGCACATTATTGAGCTGGAAAAGGATAAGAATGGACTGGGGCTCAGTCTTGCTGGCAATAAAGACCGGTCACGGATGAGCATATTTGTGGTGGGGATTAACCCAGAGGGACCCGCTGCTGCAGATGGACGGATGCAGATTGGAGACGAACTGCTAGAGGTGAGAGCCATTTGTTTTCAACTTGCCCTTTGGTGCACAGAATAGGTTTTGAGGGTAGCATACAGGAAAGTAAACTTGGATTTTTTTTTTTTTTTTTATGGATGAGTTAGATCTAACAAAGTCGGTAGACAGAGGCAAGAGGATCAGTTGTTCAAGACCAGCTTCTCCTATATGGTGAGCTTTAGCCATCCTTGGCTATGTGAGACCCTGTCAAAGGAAAACAAAGTAAACTGAGATTTAAAAGTCTTAAAAGCTATTATTGGGAATAGCTAAAGTCTGTCATATTGGTGACGTGGTAAGGTCACATACCATCCTCACTTAGAAACAGAAAGCAGGTAGGAAATAGACTAGTCCTCGGGTAATTACTATCTAAACAATCTCCTTAGTAATCTGAAAAGGTTGTTCTGTTTTCTAGGCATTTGTTTTGAGTTTGTTGGAGTTTAATATTCATTTTCTTCATTCATTCAGCCAACGTTTTTCAAGTACCCATAAGGACAGAAAGAAAGGAGCACTTATAGTTCCTTCATTCAAGTAGCTTCGGAGAAAAGAGATAGAAAGAAACAGAAACAAAAGAGGCCTTTGTATTACAAACTGAATAACAAGTAACAGACAATGCTTTCTTGATACTAGACACACCCAGCTATTTTCCTGTTTTGACTTCTTGATTGTGGTTACCCACTGTTAAACTTTCTTGGGAAACAGCCTCCAGCATGTTGCTTTTAGGGGAGGCCAGTCGCAGGACACTGGGCATCACACTGTCTCTGTGAAGTAGCACCCTCTGAGCTTGTATGGATGGTTTCCCCTTCAGAATTAGAACATGCCTTATACATCTGCAGCCAATGCAAGGAGACTTTAGCATCTCCCTTCTTCTCTCCACCTAATGCCTTTTCTGCTGCAGATCTGTTTCGTCCAGCTGACTAGTTCAGTTCATACATGAGAAGGGGAGCGGGGATTGAGGGAAGAAACGGGCTATAGCCAGAAGATAGAGTCAAGAGGGCATCCAGTGAATGCTGGTATCTGCCCTAGGTTTATTGCTCCAATTTCTTATATACCCCAACCAAAAGTGGGGAAAGGCAAAAGGACTTCCTTACCAATGATACCGTGAACAAACAAGTGTAATTACTTCCTTCATTCTCAAAGCATTCAGTAACCACACCTTAGATCAAACCTGTAATCTGGTCTTGAGGATTAAAACATCTAGGCAAGACATCCACTGACCATACCTTAGGCCAGATATTCTTTCAGTAGCCACACCTTAGACCTTTAGGTCTTAGGCCTTTAACCTTGAAAGAGCAAGGACAGGTTTGAACTCTCTGACCTTAAGTCAATATGGAATGGAAACAATGGACCTCAACACAGATCCAGTCCTGGGAGTGTGTCCTTCATTTCTTCTTCTGTTACTTGGCATCACAAAGGGGACCTACACTAGGGGATAGCAACAACTAGTATAATTATTAAGTAAATAAAGGTGAAATTTGACAAAATATATTAACCATTGTAATCCATGCCTTTATCTCTTATTTAGAACCCCCTCCCCAGGGATGAGACTAAAGTGCTGAGGGTAAATAGTGGTGAAAATGGGCTCAGTGAGTTACTGTTGTCACCAAGTATGTGCATGACAATACTCCTCTTTAATGTTCTTCAGAACCTCGGATGCAAATTACTTCTCTTACTTTATGCATAACAAAACTGGAATATAAGTGCTTTATATTATAGAAGTAAGTGTTTAAACTTGGAGAAGAACTCAAGCTTAGGGGCTGGAGCGATGATTCAGAAGTTGAGAGCATTTGCTACTCTTGCAGAGAACCTAGTTGTGTTCCTAGCACCTACATGGTGACTCACAGCCGACTGTAACTGCAGTTCTAAATCTAACACCCTCTTCTGACCTCCATAGGCACCAGGCACAACATAGATCACATCCATATGTGCAGGGAAAATATGCCTACACATGAAAATAAATAAAAATGTTTAACAAAAAAAGAACTTAGGTCTGTTAGACTCCAAGGGTCATACTGTGTACACTGATATCACTGTTTCCTGTGGTACCTTAATAGACTCTGTAACTTCCCTTTCTCCCCCTCTCTTCCTATCCCTTCCACTTCCTCACTGTCACTATTAGTGTCCATGATCCTGTGTGTGTGTGTGTGTGTGTGTGTGTATATGTGTGTACATGCCTGTGCCCTTGCTCTACTCTTAACCTTTCATTTAGATGCATTGCCACAGGCTGTCTTATAAAGAGGACTTTCTTCTTTCTCTTCCTCCTCCTTTTTGCCACTACCTCCCGCCAAGAGATTTATATTGACTGATGGTTCCAGGTCCTGGTCAGATAGTCACCCTTCATGTTGACCTTGTCAACTGTCCAGAGGTGGCTCAGGGACTCAAATAGTGAAAGATGGGGAGTGCTTGAGAGACCCAGCCAAACTGGACTGTGGTGTTATTTTGTTTGTGATTTAACAAATTAAGCTTGCCTGAATTCAGAGTGTGGAGCTAGGCATATTTGTTAGCTATAGACACCAGACGGTGGCACACACCTCTAATCCCAGCACTTGAGAGGCAGAGGCAGCCTGATCTACAGAGTGAGTTCTGGTACAGCCAGGACTACATAGTGAAAATCTGTTATGATAAACAAAACCAAAACAGAAAATTAGAATACAGGTGTAGCTCAGTGGTAGAGCACTAGTAAGCGTTCCCAGACTGTTGATCCCATCCCTCATTAGAACAACAATCAGGACTGGGAGTCAGAGACCAGATGTTAGTGTAGCACGAATTCTAATTGGTCCTAATTAGAGTCGGATATTAGAGGGTGAAAGCTGAAAGACCAGAGAAACAGAGCAGCCAGCCACTAGAGCTCTTGCTTCTATGAAATCCTCAGACCGAATAAGGGCCAGCTCCTGTCTCCTCCCACCTTATCATTTCCTCTCTCTGTCCAGCCATGTCACTTTCTGTTTTCTCCTCCCTAGTGCTGGAACTAAAGTTGTGTGCCTCCCAAGTACTGGGATCAAAGGCACCAGATCCAAAGAGCTGGGTTTAAAGGTGTGTGCCACCACTGTCTGGCCTCTACGGTTAACTAGTGGCTAAGTCTGCACTCTGATCTCCAGGCAAGCTTTATTAGTTAGAGTATAAACAAGATGTCACCACATGTTAGAGCAAAAACTGAACACTGATCAACTAGAAAACTACAAAATGATGACCTCTACGCCAAAGCTAAGGATAGAGACCAAATCTCTGTGTCCCCTGATAGCCAAGAGTTAACTGCTAATTAGTCCTGCTTCCTCCTTCATGCATAGAAACTTCAGGTGTTTGCCAGGCACGGGTGAAAAAGAGTAATAGCATTTACCTTATACTTCTCCTTTCCCTTCCTGAAGCCTTCTGAATCTGGCCATTTGTTATCTGCAGCCATATATTCAGTTACAAACACTGAGATCAAGTAAATGCTCTAGTTTCTGCCCGCTGGCAACAAATACAAATATGTTGGGACGCGGGTCTTATTGTCACATGCCATCTCTCTTCGGCCTCAGATTTTTCAAGTCATTTAACAAATATCTTCCTTAAATACCTAAAAAGAAGTCCAAAATTGATACATTTATTTTTATGGTCTTTCCCTGAATTGGGTAAAATTGCCTTTGTCTTGATCATTTTGAGAACGCCACCATTTCATCATATTACTTCTCATTATTGCTTCATCGTTGTTGTTATTAAAAATCACTACTGTGCCCACAGCCTCTTTGGGTTTACAGTTGGTATTACTTGCATCAGACCCTTAAATGGGGCTACCCCATGCCAGGTAATGCATGAATAGGTCCTGTTATCACTGAGCTAGTGGTGCCCTGGTTGGGCCACATCAAGCTCGGGGCAACCCTTTCTTTAGGGAAATTAGTGATGAAGATGGTAGGCAAGCTGTTACCACTGTCTCTGGCATACTTTAGCCGATAGGATCAAAAACTATCATTTTTGTATGTGTGTGTTTCTGTCTTTTTAGTTTGTTTATGTTGATACTAGTGTCTCTGAAGTCGTGTCACAGCAGTGTCTTTTATTCCTTAATAATTTCCTGTAGCACCTTAACACACACCCAGATCTTAGGCAATTGAAATCCATTTTCTCTCCTAACAGTTTTGACTTTAGGTCAAGGATGACAGAAAATAAATTGATATGGGAAAATATTTTCTGGCTTCTTTTTATAGCTTGGGGGAAATGCAGTCATTTCTCTTTAATATGTGAGGAATTGGGATGTGCTTGCTAGCTGAAAATAGGAAATCGATTTAGTGATGTGTACCAAGAAAGCTAAGAGCATTAAATGGTTGGGAACATTGCATTGTGCAAATAGGCTTTTAAGAAATGGAGCAAACCATGGGTATTTCCTAACTCTCACCCAAAATATGCTTATTTTATGACTTCAACCCTGAATTAGGTACAATTATGTGCCTTACTTATTTTCATTGTTCTACTACTAGCTTATAGTCTCATTGGTACTTGGCCATGATGGTTACTTTACTCCTTTGCTCACTGCCTCCTAAGATTTATACTTGATTCACTTGCTTAAGACTCTGAAGTCAAGCAAAAGAATTATCAAAAGCATACCTGGCTTCTTTTAAGTCAGAAACTCTGCTTTTCTCCCAGAGCCTGTGTGTGTGTGTGTGTGTGTGTGTGTGTGTGTGTGTGTCCTATGGTACTGCAGTATTGTTGGTGTACTGGATTGCATTGTTGCAGTAGAATAGTCGGGAAGCTCTGTGGATCGATGGCACAATTCATGTGTAAAAGAAATTTCCTGTTAGGCTCCCAGAAGACAGTGTGATTAAATCTCAGCTCCTTTACCCTTCCTTTCAATTCTAATGTGGGGGTTACTGAATTAATTTCAGAAGGCATTAGCATATAATTACCATGCACACAGAATGAGGCTTACACTAGAGTGCTGGCTTTCCCAGAGCAATTAGGCCCTGAAAATGTGCAGGCTGGGGCATGGTGCTGCCATCTGAATATAGGATTTATTTATAACCCTGTGT